TTGTTTCTTGTATACTGAATGTTATCCTATGACGATCAAATACTGTAAATGCATGTGTGTTGGCTTTAATAGTATCCTCTTTCATCAATTTCATTATGCTTTCACTGAATACTTGACTCGACATTAACATTGCATTCCATCTTTTGCCTCTTGTTGCAAAAATTGATGCTAACCTATAATAGGTTGATCTCACTAAAGCGGGGAATGAAAGGTTTCTAATTCCTTTGAATACCCCGCTCATGGACTCCATAGGGTTTGTTGTCATGTGGCCCCAACGACATCCACCATCGAAAGCCCTTCTCCATTTTTCTAGTAGAATGTTATCCAACCAGCTTCCTGCATCTGCATTTCACATCCTAATTTCGGTAAGGTAGTATTCAAATGTTGGTTGAGTTAGAGAATACCCGACATTCACAACTTTTTTGTGAAGGTTATTGTCTTTGATTGCACGCATGAAGTGTTGTGCAATATGTCTAATGAAATATACATGGGTAGAATGAGGATTATGTCACCCGTTATCATGGTTATTGTAAGCACTATCTATAGCAGTATGCCTGTCTGAAATCAAACAGAGATTGGCTTGTGGTACGACACGTGTTTTGAGATTCTTAAGGAAGAAAATCCAAGTGGAAGCGGTCACACCCTCAACCAGAGCAAAGGCTATAGGAAAGACATTATTGTTGTCATCTTGTGCAACAACCATAAGCAAGGTGCTCTTGTATTTTCCGTAGAGCCATGTTCTATCAATTTGAATAAAAGGTTTGCAGAATGCAAAACCTCTTATGCATGGTTGAAATGACCAAAAAAGATTGTGAAAGATGACATTTCCATCAACAATAGTTCCATCTGGCCTACATGTAGGCACTTTCTGCGTGATTGCAACAGTTCCCAGTATGTATGTATTTAACGCTACCAAAAATAACGATAATTATTTGTAAGAATCCCCCCATTTGCCAAATACCTGTTCAACAACCTTTGTCCTTGCAATCCAGGCTTTCTTGTATGATGGAGTATAATTATATGGCATCACAATATGAGAGATTATTATACTCATCTTCACTAATGGATCATTATTAACAAGCGGCAAAATGTCTTGACATATCAATTATGTGCTTAGCTATCGGTGATCTTGAACAGTATTTATGGCAGTGCAACTGTGAGGTGGCTCTATGGAAGCTATCTTCCAAGAATCGTTTCTCTTTCTGTAAGACACATCAAGTCGAAACTTGCAAAGTGGATTACGACAAATAATGACATACCTTCTTGAATCAGTTCGGTGTATATTGAAATCAACAGAGTTATCCATGTGATATTTTTTAATGGCACGTATACAATCTTCCTTGGTATAAAACTTGTCTCCCACTTTTAATTCATTCTCTGACCAAATATACGAGTTGTGAAACATATCTGCGGATCTCTCATCGTCTTTCAAGTCCAAGCCTGTCATATGTTGAGGTGGACAATATACATGACTTAGAGGTATTGGCACTTGTTCGTCATCTTCAACGTTGTTGTTCAACAGCTAATCAACCAAGGTCTCGCTTCCTTCTTCTTCTTCATCAACGAAGTTGACCTCAGGTTCAGTTTCATCTGAATATTCTATTTCGGTTTCATCTGAGTCTACACCTATTGATTAATCGATGATCTGAGATTCTTAAGATGGAATATTTTGTCGGAGGAACGTATACAGCTCAATATAGTTAAAACTAGAATTTTCGTGACTAACGAACATATTTTCAACATCTTCATCTTCTCGCACTTTAAGTTGATAAAATTTAACGTGGTTGTTTAAAAAAAACTGGGTTTTGATATATTATTTGGGATATAGAATCAAACCCTAATTTCGATTCCAATCTTTCTTTGAAATGCAAGAAACTTGTGTTTCTATTGATTGTGAATCAGACAATATCGGTGTTTTAAGAACCAAACCCAGTGTCATCGGAGACATATGTCTCTCCGTTGTAGTGGGCGTTAATAAAGTATCTCGGTGCAGATGACATAGTAAAAACACTTGTTAGAGACTTACTAATTTTGGTTGTTTTGGTTTCTATCTATGTCTGCATGCATGGGAACATATAAATATGCATGGGACACATAATGAAGTTGCCACATGAATTGGCAACATGGTACAATGTGGGAAAGGGAGTCGCCAACTCACATGAAGACAAGGTGCAGTCTCTAAGTTTCGTCCTCGTGTCCATGAATATGTTGCACCTAACGAATTAATTTAACCATATATTGAGCTCGCCGGTTTCAGACATGTAAGCAAAATCATATCTTACTCGGTTAATGCAAAGTTTATACTAGCTTTGGAAGAGAGATGGTGCCCAGAGACACACACCTTCTTTTTTCCAACCAGTAAATATATCGCGACCTTTGAGGATGTGTACACGTTACTCGGTTTGCGTATTGATGGTAAGGTGGTTAATGGACCAACCAACCTTTATGGTTCAATTTATGAGGAACTTTTAGGTGTCGACTTGCTAGACGAGAACTCAAAAGGCCAATGTATCTTACTTTCGCGCCTCAAAACATGGTACACCGATTTTATATTAGATCAAGATTCTACAGAAGAAATGAAAATAATAAAAAACAGGTGTTATCTTATGATTTTAATTGGTTTATTTTTATTTCCCGAAGGAACTGGTTCTTCTATGCACGTTATGTATTTACCGTTATTGAGAAACCTAGATAAAACAAGAGAGTATAGTTGAGGTTCTGCTTGTCTGTCTTATTTGTATAGTTCTTTGTATAAGTGCGCCAAAAAAAACACATATGGTTTTTTTGGATGCACCGTTTTGCTCCAAGCATGGGGTTGGTCTAGATTGTCATCCCTAGCGCCCGTCAACCACAATAGCTTTCCCTTCCCGTATGCATAAAAGTAAGTTACTAACTTAACCTTAGTTTATTTCATCTTACTAATTATTGTGTTTAACCAATTGAATTTGAACTTTTGTGGTTTAGATGGTCGGTTAAGGGTATGACTTGTAATAGATGCCCTAAACATTGTATCATTCAATACCGCAATTTGTTGGATCACCTAACACCTAGAGATGTAAGGCCTCTAAACAAATCAATTTATTTTTTTATATCAATAATTTTACAATCTAATATTTTTCTCTTCTTCAGTCCATTTGGCGTCCATATCTAAACATGGAACACCTACATGAAGTTACAGAGGAAGATGTTGTCGTTTGGACTGCTTGTGTGCCGATCATCTGATTCACTACTGTTGAGATGCACAACAGTTACCCGTGTCAAACTACAATTTGGAATGCATCAAAACATCCCAGATCCCCTTGTTAACCTCGGTAAATGGCATCTCAAAAGAGTTAATGATCAATGGGACTTTCACGACTGAAAGGATTTTGTAAAATCTGAGTGTCGTAAATGGAGGAACCGCAACGCCCATGTCTTACGTGATCTGGTGACGACAACCCCGACTATACCAACTAATAATTATATGGCATGGTACAGATCGATTGCAACTGGGTTTTTCTCCGAAGAGATGTATCTATACGGCCCACGGAAAACCACCTACACCCAAGAAGCTTCAGCGTCTAATCCACCAAGAAGGCCATGTTACTCACAACCCCCTACCCAACAAAATTACCAACCCACTGACCATCCAAACATGATAAACACTCAACCACAATACCAAGAGCGTCCCACATACCATCTCCAACACACTGACTACTATCAACAAACCCAATATGGCTATGGCCCCAACACAACATCAAGATATAGCCAAAATGAGGGTACATCATACCATAGGCATAACGCTAAAACATCTTTCCATAGCCAAAACGCTCAGACATCATACCCTAGCCTACACACTCAAACATCTCAACAAACTTATGGCTTTCAAACACCACTACCATTTCAACCTTTCATCAACGAATCTTTTACACCAATGTCCTCCTTCAATCATCCAGGCCGCACATCAATGACCCCTTCATCACATCCAAACTACTCTAGCATGGGTCACACGCTCAGTAGCAACACACAAGATATCATGAAAATGCAATAAATTCTTAGGGAACCATATGGGAATGTTCACAAGTGCAACGACGGAAATGAGTGCAAGGAGTGAGGGTGCCTAGGGGATGTGGAACCGGTGGCCGGTATGACCAACCCGGTCGCCAATATTAATTTATGTAATAGTATTTTTAATTAATGATAATGTTATTTATTTTTGGTAAAAAAATTTACAGAATGCACCATGTCTCCAAATGAATTGGCGACTCCCCTTTAAGTATAACACCAAGGCACCAATTGGAATAGAGACTGCGTGAGGTATCTCCAATCCAATTGGCGACTCCGCTCATACCTTAACAAAGGGTCGCAAATTGGTATGACGCTTACATGCAATCATAAATCCTAACTGCAATAATTTAAAAAATATTTTAAAATGTGAGATATTTTAAGATTTTTTTTTTAAAAATGAGTTATTTATGTAAAATAAATTCACCAATGGCGAGGCTATCATCAAAAGGGATATTCTTAAAAAAATTTCAAACTGAGGCAGAATGAAAAATTATTTTCTGGGGCAGTATAGTAAAAAAAGATTCCCCAAATCCTCATAGTGTGCCGTACGACATCATCATTGCTCCACTCGCCGGAAGAAAATTCAGACTCGGAATTTACATAGTGAGATTCCAAATTCTTTGAATGATTAACCCTTAGAGGTCCATAAAAGCTTCTATTGTACAACTTCACATCAGCATGAATCAACATAAAAATATAAAAGCTTCAACAAACATCTCAACCCAATATCAAATTTATATAATTCAAAATAGGCATTTTCTCAAAATTTAAAACTAAAAAAAAATTAATATAAAAACTTCATCAAACTCAATAATCAATGTTTAGATGCATAACACGAATAGATATGAAAAAACAATAACAACCAAAAATCCAGCAAACAAAACCAAACAAAACAACTAAATGTAAAAATGAAAAACTATAACAATGTAACCGTCATCATGCCTATAAATAGTTCAACGCTTGAACAAGTCACTGCATCCACTCCAATTTGCCTCGAGTGAACTCCATAGTTGTTTAATTGCCTCCTTCTTCTCCTCACCTTTTTCTAAGATCCCACCATTCTTATTACTCACCTGTTTTTCAAGTTCTTCAACTCGCATTATCAGCTTATTTTCATCATTCACTTTTGTTCTATAGTGAACAGCCATCTCCTTCAGCGATGTGTTCAGCTCGTTTATATGCTTCTTCATATGTGATATTTGATCGCCGCGCGAGCGTATCTCAGCCTTAAACTTATCAACCCTCGCTTCATTTATTTCATCCATCACCTTTCTCGATTCCTTATTCGCAGCTTCTACCTCATTCATTCTTTGATCGAAATCTTTCTTCAAACAACTTATTTCATCTTGCAAAAGTTTTACTTGAGCAGAATGCTTCGATTTTTCACCTTCATGCAGCATTACATTTTTTTCTAACTCCTTTTTTCTAGACTCATATTCCTCCAGTTTAGAGGACAAACTTTCTCTCTCCCAAGAGAACATGGCCTGTATTTCGAGCAGTTTCGAATTCAGTTTTTTCAACTCCTCCTTGTGGTTAATGTCAGTATCCTTCTTTGCGTCAGCCATGACATCTATGTTGCATTCTAATGAGGCAATGTATTTCCTTTGCTCTTCCATCTGACATTGCAACTGATGAATCTTAGATGTCTTACTGTTAAGTTCCTGTGCGATGTCTTTGTTTGCAGTCTTGAGCTTCTTTTGAGCCTCCTTAAGTTGTTCCATCAAATTTGTAATCTTGTTGACACATTCTGGAAAATGAGTATCCAATTTAGCAGTTTGTTTTTGCAGCTCCTCCTTTTTCAGACTCAATTCTTCCTGCACATTTTCGAGTTTATTCTCACTTTCTTTAATTTGAGTCTTCAACTTGAAAATCTCTTTTTCCAAAAGCTCCGCTTTCAGCTTCAAATCTTCGCAGATATTATCAAACTGATCCGCTTTCAGCTCCAATTCTTTGCGCACATCATCAAGCTCGCCCTTCTTCAGATTTAAATCTCCGCGCAAATTATCAAGCTCAACATCTTTCTGATTCAATTTTTCCGAAAGCTCCTTTTGTTCATTCAACTCCTCCGCTTTCAGCTTCAATTCTTTGTAGATATTATCAAACTGATCCGATTTCAGCTCTAATTCTTTGTGCACATCATCAAGCTCGCCGTTCTTCAGATTTAAAGCTCCGCGCACATTATCAAGCTCAACATCTTTCTGATTCAATTTTTTATGCATCATAAGAAGCTGAACATTATTAGCATTATATTTTTTGTGCATACTATCAAGTTGACTCTCACTATTTTCAATTATAGTCCTCAACTTGAAAATCTCATTATCCAAAAACTCTCTTTGTTCATACAACTCGTCCTCTCTCAGCCCCAATTTGTCATGCACATCATTAATCTGACTCTCACTATCCTCAACTTGAACTTTCAACCCTATAATCTCTTGTTCCGAAAGCTGAAGCTTAAAATTCAAAACTCTTAACTCTTCCTCCTTTTCAATGAACTTTTTTAGCAACTCCTCATAACTTCTATTGTCCATCTCCCACGAAAAACCATCATCGTTGTTTTCCACCCCAACAAACTGGTTTTCCTCTTCCATCTCCCACGAAAAACCATCATCGTTGTTTTCCACCCCAACGAACTGGTTTTCCTCTTCCAAATCCGGATAGTTTCCTTCTAGGTCAACATTAGGAAGGGATTCATTAGGAAGGGATTCATCAGGCAGAACATGACAACTGATTGCAGATGAGAAATCAGTTTCGGGTTCAGAATCCCACGACGACATAGGTGAACCACAACCCTCCTTCATAGAAACCACAGAGCTAACATCATCACAGTCAGAGCAAGAATACGAATCAATTTTCAGCGGTTGAAGGTCGCATTCCGGCACAGTAGTCATCTGATTTAGGACCACCCCTACACTCTCTCCATCACAAACTGGATCACAACCATCACAAACTGGATCACAATTGCTAGAGTCCTCCATCTGAGATTCTAAAAATAGAATTCAACAATTACAAAAAATTTCTATTCCAATCATCAACCATCAGAAATCAACATGCTATTCAAACTATCAAACTATAATAAAATGTCATGATTAAATAAATATAAATACAATAACATGAACAATAATAAACCAGTATTGCAATATTAAAACAACTTAGTAACCGATTTTTTGATTGCATCATGAAACTAAAACTATAAATTGATAAAGTACCATTATCATCATGAAACAAAAACATCTTGAAAACTCAGTTGATATAAAAATTTCGAAACACTATTATTAACTAACATGCATGCAAAATTGATCATTGTATACATTATAATAATAGTATTGCATTTGAAAATTTCAGAAAATAGAAAGGAATAACACAATCACTCACCTGCTCAGAGAATGGAAATATGCCGTAGGGTTTGGAAAAGAGATCAGTATAGTTGGTATTTTAGGGTTTATGATTGTTATGTGTTTGTTAAATATATAGTGCAGAGAATCCTATTTTTCAGGTATAGGTATGGCCTGTTTCAGGGATTTTTTATTTCAGTTTTTATTATAATATATAATATAAATTTAGACCTAATCAATTAAATTACTTTTACAAAGAAATTTTATTTTTTGGTTTCAAAATATTTTTAAAAATGTATTATCATTATGCGATTAAGATTTTTCAATAAGAACTTCTCTTATTAAATTTAGACCTAATCAATTAAATTTTGCTACAAATCAATTTCATCATTTTGTTTCAAAATATTTTTAAAATAATAAATATTGTGTGATTAATTTTTTTAAATAAACAATTATCATATTAAATTGACAATATTTATAATTAATTTGAATTTTTTAAAAATTAATTTACATATAAATCTTAAAACAAGTTATATTTTGTTGACGTAGCATCCTATTAAAATTTTCTAACTTCTAATTAACTATATATTAAATTAACTATATTATATTGATAATTATTATTGAAAAAATCTCTTAAATCTCCTAAAATTTAATTTATAATTAATTGTTGATGTGACATTCTATCAAAACTTTTGACTTTTAACTTTTTTTTCTATTAAATTGACTATATTATATTAAAAATTATTATTAAAAAAATCTCTCAAATCTTCTAAAATTTAATTTATAATTTTAATTATAAATTGAATTTAGATTTAATCAAGTAAATTTCTTTACAAAAATATTTTAAAAATTAAGTGTTATGTGATTAATTTTTTCCATTAAAAAATCATCTTATTCAATTAGACCTAATCAATTAAATTTCCCTACCAAGAAATTTCACCTTTTGATTTCAAAATAATTTTTAAAAATAAGTATTTGTGATTAAGTTTTTTAAGTAAAAAATTATCTTATTAAATGGTCAATTGTTATGATTAATTTGAATTTTACTAAAAAAATTAATCTATAACCACAAAGCAAATCACAATTTAGTTTTTTTAAGCAAGGATTATAGTAATGAAACATAATATTATGAGTTCCCTACCCTTTGAAAAAAAAAGAAATGCGAAAGACCGCGGAAAATTCAAACTAACTGAAAATGAAGACAAACTAATTATCTGTCTATGATAAAAGTCGAAAAATCTGCCGTTAGAATAAGAATTTTCTTTGATAAATGATCATTTTCAAACTGTCAATTTTATATCCCACATTAGATCCGATAAACTACATCGAGCTCTCTAAAACGATCTCGATCTACTCTGTGATATACCTCTAAACATCTGAAACAATCCTGCAGTCAAACATAACATCTCTGTAAGTATACGATGTAGAGTCTCTTGTTTTTCAGGCATACGTATAGCTTATTTTAGACATTTTTTATCTCAGTTTTTATTATAATATATAATATAAATTAGACCTAATCAATTAAATTACTCTAAAAAAAATTTTATTTTTTGGTTTCAAAATATTTTTAAAAATGTATTATCATTGTACGATTAAGATTTTTCAATAAGAACTTCTCTTATTAAATTTAGACCTAATCAATTAAATTTTGCTACAAATCAATTTCATCATTTTGTTTCAATATATTTTTAAAATAATAAATATTGTGTGATTAATTTTTTTAAATAAACAATTATCGTATTAAATTGTCAATATTTATAATTAATTTGAATTTTTGAAAAATTAATTTACATATAAATCTTAAAACAAGTTATATTTTATTGACGTGGCATCCTATTAAAATTTTCTCATTTTTAATTTAGTATATATTAAATTAACTATATTATATTGATAATTATTATTGAAAAAATCTCTCAAATCTCCTAAAGTTTAATTTATAATTAATTGTTGATGTGTGGCATCCTATCAAAACTTTTGATTTTTAACTTTTTTTCTTGACTATATTATATTAATAATTATTATTAAAAAACTCTCTCAAATCTTCTAAAATTTAATTTATAATTTTAATTATACATCGAATTTAGATTTAATCAAGTAAATTCCTTTACAAAAATATTTTAAAAATTAAGTATTATGTGATTAATTTTTTCCATTAAAAAAATCATCTTATTCAATTTAGACCTAATCAATTAAATTTCTCTACAAAGAAATTTCATCTTTTGATTTCAAAATAATTTTTAAAATTGAGTATTTGTGATTAAGTTTTTTAAGTAAAAAGTCATCTTATTAAATGGTCAATTTTTATGATTAATTTGAATTTTACTAAAAAAATTAATCTATAACAATAAAGCAAATGACATTTTAGTTTTTTTAAGCAAAGATTATAGTAATGAAATAGAATATTACGAGTTCTCTACCCTTTGAAACAGAAAGGAAAGAAAAGCGAAAGACCGCAAAATTCAAAATAACTGAAAATTAAGACAAACAAATTAGCAGTTCCTGGTAAAAATTGAAAAACCTTCCGTTAGAATAAAAAATTTCTTTGATAAATGACCATTTTCAAGCCGTCAATTTTATATCCCACGTTAGATCCGGTAAACTACATCGAGCTCCCTTAAACAGAATGTCATTCCTAACTTTCCAAATATTTCACACCACAGTCGATCAAATAATACCGAAATTCTCCCTCTTCACACCTATAAAACAATCAACCCTTATCCAACTCAAAAAGCTTCTCCACATCACTTTCACATGAACCCAATCGATCCCGATCCATTCCGTGATATACCTCTAACACTACAAGAAACATTGCATTTTCTCAAGTGATTTTCACGTCACTAACTCAAAAACCACTTCACTAACCAACTTTTGCCCGGAAATGCAATGGTGGGAACATGTTCCCACGTGGAAAACACGTCACAAAGTTGTGACATAGTTCCCACGTCGCAAATAACAAAATTAGGAGAAAATCTTCCCACGTGAAAACCAAGTCACTAATTAGTGATGTGATTCCCACGTCACTAATTTGTGACTTGGTTTTCACGTGGCTTTGCACGAGAATTCTGGCACTAATTAAATTGGTTCACATGTGATTTTCACATCACTAATTAGTGACGTGATATACATGCCACAACAAAAATATGTTTTATAATAGTGACAGTGACATTGTTTGCACTTCACTATAAAATTTAATAATAAAAAAAATAAAAATAAATATTAACTAAAAACAGCTATAAAATTAAAATAAATATTAAATATTAATTATAAAATTTAAAATTTTAAAATAATATACATTAAAAAAAATATAAATATTTAGTTACATGAAATTCACGTCACAAATATAAATATAAATATGTTTAATCTAATATGCATGTTAACCTGACAAGAAATGTCATATTCATCTTCGATAGAAGGTAAAAAAGTTGTTATCCATATTCATGGTCAATGAATGATATCACACCCACATGAATAGCATGATTCAACCGATGAGACTTCTCTCATTTAGTTGTTAGACCATAATAAAAAAGAAAAATAGTGAAATATGCCTGAAACTATTCTTTAAATATTCACTCTTTTAGTTATGTAGAGACGTTCTCCATTTTCTAAAAAATGAATTATACTTAAGTATGATTTTTGTATATAAATATTTAATTAATGTCATAATTTCAAAAAGTATATGTATCTATATAATTGATTTAGTCTAAAATATAGTAATAAACATTTTCACTTTTTATTTATAGAAATCGAGACGATATCAACTCTCTTAGTTTCTTAAAAAATATTTCATTTCTACCTATTCTAAAAATATATATTTTACTACAAATTATTTTTATTTTTTTCTTTCAACAACAACACAATAAACAAAATTAATATTTATAAAATATCAACAACAGAAATATAAATATTCTAAAATTTTATAATATATCAACAAAATAATATATCAACAACACAACACAATAATATATCAACAAAAAATCTAAATATTCTTCTAAAATTATAGAAAAAAATCAACAATTAATAATTAGATAAACATAAAATAAACTGTAAAATATTTCCAAAAACAACCTATTGTGAATTAATATAGAGAGAGTTTTGTGACGTGGAAAGCTACCCACGTGATTCCCAACCTCTAATGCAACACGTGATTCCCCACGTGATAAGTTGTAACATTCCCAATGTTTTGTTTGTTACATCGTGGTAATCCTGTCACAATTATGTTTTGTTTGTTGATAAGTTGGGACTTTTTACACGCCACAACTTAATTTTTTAAAATTTCAAACTTTCTTCTCTCTTAAAATTCCAATTTTTAGTTGAAGATTTTAGATCTGAATAATTTATTATTTAAATGGTTTAGTAACGTGGAAATCACTTGACTACATGTTATTTTCTTACACATGATTAGCAGGTCACTAAATTATCTGGAACTAAATCACCTGAAAAAATGGACTTTTCTGGTAGTGTAGTGTAAAAATCTGAAACAATCCCGCAGTCAAACATAAGATATGTGTTTGTTAAGTATATATGGCAGAGACTCTGTTTTCAGGCATAGGTATCACTTGTTTTAGGAATTTTTTATCTCAGCTTTTGTTATAATATATAATATAAATTTAGACCTAATCAATTAAATTACTCTAAATTTTTTT